TGTCAAAATCGTAAGTCATTTTATAGCACGTGTAGAAGAATATGAGCGAATCACTGTTCATTAAGTGTTTGCTTGAGACTTTGATGAATAACTATTTAGTTACTGATTTCAGATGTCACGGGTTTGAACACCAACTTTCTAACATGCATCCTTGACTTTCATCTGCCATTTCGCTGGCTATCATGAAGTTGGAGAACACTTGTCTCATAGTAGATACTGCACGTCACTTTCGGACATTGACTTTTGATTTCACTGGGTGGGTACGATTCGATTCTAGAAGGCATACTGTTTGAAGTGATGTCAAACTACGAATACTCGTACCATCTTCATCGGTAAGCCGACGTGATCTGATATATCAACTAGTAAACTGCGAGTTTGCTCCTTTCTGGAACTCTATGTATAATTGCTTTACATTAATTTTTATATATTGCGATAATTTTTGCGAATTTTTCGATGTTTCTTCTCTGTTTATTCCTGTACTTCGCATTCGCCACGACAGAACCGACTCTTAAAGAACTTATGTTCAAGACTATAACACCACCCTCGTTCCACCTAATACCATGCTGGCCAGACAACAATGAAGCCTGGTTCTTCTACGCAAAGGCTGACTTCTACGAACACGGAGTGACCGGTTCCTGTGCACAATTTCTCGAAGCAGTAAGGACGCTAATTAAGCAAGTACGCCACACCTTGGATTTTTACTAGTGATGTTTTGGAACCTTATGAAACTCTAAAATGGTCTATTCTGAAACGCAGAGATCTAACCGATCGACAAACGTTATATCAACTCATCAATAACATCGATCTACAACGTGGCTCAGCAGAAGACATATTGTTACAAACGAACGAGGACATCGGTCAACGGACCTTCAACGATGAACTGTTTACACAATTTTCTCTGTCTAAACTTTCTCAAGCAAGTAGTGCTTGTCTCGTTTCAAAACAACTCCGTAGACGAGCTGGCTGAATCTGCCGAACGTATTCTAGAGATCACCAAATCTTCTAACGCGGAAGTTTTTTCGGTCAAACGTCAAACAACATGAGGTGACGTTACGGAACTATGACATACACTGACACGTTACCAACCAATTCGTAATGACGATAAACGATTAAAAAACCCCTCGAAGTAGTTTTTCACGAAAACGATGTGTCTTTAGACCGCGAGTGACAGATAACCTAGAATGGTGTAGGTATCATAATCACTTCGGAAAATCTTCCCAAAATTTCAGAAAACCCTGCAATTTTCCGAACCTCAAACCGACTGACACGAAAAACGTTTCGAGAAACTTCCTAGCCTACATGCACTAACGACAACCGTAGACGGAGAGCATAGCTATCAGTTTTACGTCACTGATGTGAATAAAACGTTCGCTACCTCGTTGATACTGGCGCAGAAGTTAATATTCTTCCAGTGAATTATAAGGGCCGACTGCATGAAGCAGTTTTCAACATACAAGTGGCGAATCGGAATCCATCGCCAAATATGGTAGGTGGCATACTTATCATAATGTGTGTTTACCCAAACCTATCTACAGAATCTTCGTTGTTGCAGATGTTTCTATGCCATTAGTTGACATAGACCTCCTGTAACACCACAATCTACTCATCGACACGCGCAAACGAGAGCTTGCAGATGGAAACACCAACTTATCTGTTTGTGTAACTTCTTTTTCCGATTGCAGATTATCTCCAGTCACATTTTGGCACACGACTTATCCATTCTATCAACTATCACTCGGTAAGTACTCTGTGATATACCAAGCGCAAACGAAATTGCCGTGTTTGACCAGCAGTGTTACACATCATATCAAGACTATATGACCACCTGTATTTTCGAAATCTTCCCACTGGCCCCCGAAATGCTGAGGTCGGCTAAAAACGAATTCGATCGTATGACAGGCTCAAGAATCATTCGTCCATCAAACAGGCCATGGGGATTGTTGTGACTGTAATGTCCGACTAGTTATCACGTAATTTATTCGCCAATCGAAATACGACTCATTCACTCTTGCACTATACTAACCAATGACGTTCAACCGGTCTGATCAGCCGAACGTCCTTATGAGTCCTTTGCTCCCCTAGCCCGTCCAGTTGAGTCCAAGACACCAATAACGGCTCCCGCTATGCAAATCATTTACTTCGGACATACTAAGCTCATATTCCAGACAGACAGGTCGCATCGAACCATAAAATAGGAAATAACATTTATACAAGATCAAGCCAAGTCGTACATGCGAATGCTGATGACTGCTTGATTGCAATTTCGGACAGAGAATCTCAACTCCATCATCTGGACCTTGTTCTCGAACGACTACAAAAGCACGGTATTACTGTAAACACTCAGAAATGACAAATCGGATCTGACTCCATGGATTTCCTCAGACATACTATTGGGGTTCAAGGAATCCAACCTCTGTGAAACAAAATGGCGGCTATTCTAGATTACCCAGAACCGGCCGTAATTAGGCAATTACTCACGTTTAACGGCATTGTAAATTTCTACAGACGGTTTGTAGCGTGATGTCGAGTAGAGATTGACTATGAACACCGCTACCAAGAAACTCGTGCCAAATGACTCCATAAAATCCCCCAGAAGCCAAATATCAGAAGGCATTTAATGGACCAAGTCGAGATATATTTGCTGGCGATCTCGTGGTATCGAAAGAATACCGAGATCGTGCCAGGATATAATCTTGGTTACAGAACGTAACCGAATTCGCGCGAAGTCACAATCAAAGTGTGTGAATAATGGATGCTTATAGCAGGGTTAAACAAAAGCACATTAAAACAGTCACTGATACAATTGGTTATAATAATAATTGTTTTCAATGAACCAATCGTGTTCTCGTGATAAAAGTGAGTCACTACAGGTTCATACCAAACTTCGTTTCCCTTGTGAGACCGTTAACGGACCAACTTCGTGGATATTTGAAATCCATCAATTTGGACGATAATGCTCGAAAAGCATTCTCCACACTTAAGGAACTTATCGCCATAGCAGCCATGCTTGCACATCAGGACACCCAAGCATCCATTAGTATCACAGTACACTCATCCGACGTATAAATAATAATAATAATAATAATAATAATAATAATAATAATAAATAATAATTATTCGGGCCTAACGTCGTAGTAAACATCAAACCACGTTGGGTTTAAGACTATCACGTTGTCCAGTGGAAAGAGTAGATAACCATTTAGTGACTTTGCATGCCTCTATGGAAATAATGAGTCGCGTCTGTTGTTTATTTTTGAAACGTTCTATTAATAAATAGTAGGTCTCCCTAGGTACCTTATAACTCATTGAGGCACGTCGGTTTAATCCGGTAAACCGCAGTTTATTGTAATAAAAGTAGGTTTGAGTAAAGTCGAAAGTACTGCCTCAGTCGTTGTTTTGGCTATATTTATATTCGTCAAGGGAATCAGTTGCATGAAGCATAGATTATTAGATACATAAACTTTCGAAATTTTGCATAAAAACTGAAAGATGTGTTCCTCGGAGAGTTCTAATGATTTGGAAATAGAAGCTGCATTCGGCAACTGCTGGGAGATAGTCTGAACATAACTTATCAAGGAACAGTCCAGTTGGTCTGCTGCTACTGTAACATCGACTAGTTTGTTCTGATTTTATAGACAGCGATGACTGATGCGCATAACAAATTGTAGCGGTGGACGGTATTTGACGTGGTAAAGTGGTAAGAAAAACAGATGTATAGGACGGTCACCTGTACGTCCATCGTGACTTCCCAGTTGAGTTCTGTGGTATAATGCAACTCTCACTGGTTTGACATGTTATTAGATATAGCTCAGTATAGAAGCCAATGGTAATCCTACTGTATTTTTATTTTGTATTCTTCATAAAAACCTGATGAAATCACCTAAATGAAGAAATTCTTCCTATTTATGTTCTTAGCTGAACTTTACCTCCTGTTTTATATTACTCTCGTTCACTTATTTCTCTTGGTTCGTCAATTTTCGATCATACTCCCTTCTCATTCCACACTTTCATTTTCTTATTTGTGTGACATATATTTATTTTGGGACCTATATGTACCAGTATTTATGCATTATAGATACATTCAGATAAATAGTGGACTCGTTGTATTTGAAGATAAAGAACTATTTATAAAAACTGACCTCTTCATCCAATGACAGACTAATGGACCCATCCTCAAATAACTCTTTGTGCAACACTGTTCACGTTCCAACCCTATATTTCAAGTGTTATGTCTAGTGAGATCTGTGAAACTATTTTAATGTAATCAAAATCCTTGTGTAATTTTTCAGAATAAACCTAAACTTATATGTTATTGTTTAAAAATTATGCAGTTGTTTTAGACTTTTTTCCGTTTAGATTAAATTAACCCCATGAAGAAAGCAAAATGAATCTAGCTGTAAGATGATTAAAATTTTTGTAATCGAAATTCTATGAACTTGTAGAACTTATGGTCTACTATGATATTAGTACTGCTCTAATAATAGACCTAATCCTAAATTATATAATTACAGTCGTGTTAACACTAACGTCTGCCAGCTCAACATTAAACGACAACATAAAGACACTATTTAAAAAAATATGAGTAACACCATTCAAATTCGCTGGATGTAATGGATAAACACGTTATCTGTTTTTCTTTGTTCAGGCAAAATTCTTTACAGCCTAACTAGGAGATTCATTATATCCTTGAAATGCATTATGTTAATAAAACAAACATCAAACTAGTCTCTCTTTTAATTCATTATTATTAAACTGCTTATCACATTGATAATATTCTTCTAAAAAAAATAGTGGATAATAGTGGAATGAAGTGTAAAAGTAGTCAACCCCATCTTAAGAGTAATGTAGGAATGACTAAGTGAAATAGAAGTAATAGAATGGGACTTATAAAAAGTGAGAGAATAAAAATTTGAAAGTAAGTGGCTTTACATGCAAAAGCTACTGAGAAAATCATCATTGTTGGAATAAACTGATGGAATAAACTGATTTTGTGAAGTGAGTCACATAAAATTGAAATATTCATATCTTTCATAAGCCAGTGTTTCTTCAGTATTATCATGTATATTTAAATGACCAAGTGATGACAAATCTCCATTCTTCTTTACTTGAATATACCAATCAACAAAATCTGCTCCCAACTTGTTCACAAGTATTTTGTCATCCATAAGACTATGTAGAGCCTGTTGAATTGTATTGGGAAGTACTTTACAGACACCAATTTGACCATTTGCTTGTTTCAAACCTGAAGGTGGAGGGTGTATTTGACGTTCCAAGCCATCTAGCCCAGCTGCTATTGTGGCAGCAAGCACATGGTAAGAACAAGATGCGGATGATGGTATACGATTTTCTATGTATGTCTGTTTCTCATTAAAGTTTTTTACACGAATTGATATATACCTATCATGAAAATCCCAATTCACATAGGAGGGAGCAAGATGTTTATGTAGTCTTCTATAGCAGTTTACTGTTGGACAAGAAATAGCCAACATAGCTGGTAAATGTTCCAAGATGCCTCCAATCCAGTGACGAGCTAGAGTAGATAATCGATCAGGATCTGAGGTGGTAAAAAAATGTGAACTTTAGTTTAGATTACATTATTCATGTTCAGTCCATATTATATGCATAAAAATTTAAATAACATTAAAACATTTTATATATATGGAGAGAGAAAAAGTTGATAAATTCGTTCCAGTGCATGCATTTTTCATGCGCTATCTGGTTTTGTTATCCTACTATTTTAGGGTGAAATATATTTCTCAGATGTAGAGTGAAACGATATAATAATCTGTTCTAAAGTAGATAATAAATATTTAAGTATCAAAGTCAACACAGAAGGATTATGCAAACTACAAGATAAGTAGAAGAAAAACTCAGTTCGGATGAGATATCTTTGCACATTGCATAATGAGAAGTTTGAATAGTTAAAAGCACGACGTATGTTGACAAACAGTTTTGTTTGTCAAATTAACTACACCTGTTTTGATCAAAATCCTCTATATATTCCAGAAATCTGTCGTCATTTGAAAGAAGGATATTTTGAGAAAGATATTCGTTATACAAGACAAATATTTAGTGGCGGAGATTTTAATTAAAATAAAATATTTGCAAAATCAATCTATCAAGACTTACCTTTATCATCGTAAAATGCATTACGATTATTATCAGCGTACCACAGAGAATGGTTGTAGTGACACCCACTAGAGCTGGAATCCAGTAATGGTGTAGTCATAAACGAAATTTCCATCCCGTGTTTAGTCCCGATTTCTTTTACAGCCTGTTTCAATATAAAATAATTATCTGCAGCGGACAACCCCCATGTTGGTATTAACGGACATTCCAACTGTCCTTCGCCATCTTCATTACTGTAATCTTGTATATCGATCCCTGCTAGCTGCATATTGTAATCAATATCCGCAAAATAGTTTTCATAAACGGACAGTAAACTTGTTCTGTACATGTCTCTAAAATTTGTCCAAGGGATTGGCTTTTTAAGGTCAATAAATTGGGTAACATCGTTCGACTTTGGCTTTAAACACGATGACTCATAGCTTCCCTTTACAAAAGCCCTAAACTCTGGTTCAAAAGCTGAATATAACCGTAGATTATATTTATCCTCCAGCTCTTTGATAAGCCTCTGAGCAACAAATCTCGGGTAGGCATACATTGGCTGGTTATTAGGCCAGTATATGTCGCACAAAACAGAACAAAATGAATATTTACCATCTTCTTCTCCGTTCAAAATCATGTTATTGTCCTTTTGTGTGTGAGGATAATTCTTTTGTGAAATCCAATGACATGGATGCAGAGTCGAGAAATCTGGCTTCAAAACACTGTTAATATGCTTCCTTTCAACCACTTCTGGGATGCTGATTATCTAAATATGAAGACAGCTCAAATTTATTGTGACTGATAATTTTTCGCAAATAGAAAACATAATGAGGTACACTTTTATTGAAATAATGAATTATAAAACTTGCAGATGAAACAAGAAAATACGAACTTCTAAAAATCTACTGTGTATTGAGAATTAATTCATAACTGTGGATCAGATATCTCTAAAATGCTGTTTAAACCATAATTTCAATTTAACAGAAGTGTGGTGTATGTTACTTACACGGACAGTCATAAGTAGAATGTATCAAGGATTGAAAGTATGATTCTCACTGATGGAAGAGAGAAATAACAAAAACAATTAGTCGGAGTGGCAATAGGGATAAAAGAACGATGGAATTTTTGAAAAACAATTTAAGGAAAATGTGCGAATGATGTATTCAATGTGTTGTTTTCATACTTTACAAATGCTGGGTTTATAATGAAATTACTTCAGTTAGTAAATAGGATGTAACAAAGTTATAAATTGTCGACAAGTAGATCAGTTGAGAGGAAATCTACCATAATTAAGTATGCTTTTAATCGGTGCAGATAGAATTTGATAACGATATTACATTTAATTAGCTTTATTGCTTATGTAGTTTCCATTGAAACTGTAAGTGTTCGCAAAAGCTGACTGATAATTTGTTAAAAATTTAAAGTTTTGATTGACTTTGTTTACTGTCCTGAAGCACCACTAGGCCTTACCATCATTATTACTTTGGTTAATGAAGTATATCTTTTTTATGAATGATACACATAGTAAATCCCTATTCAGTAGTCTGTTGTGATCTATCAGTCACAACTCATCACACTTATCGAAATAAAAAACTGGAATAATAAGAATCGATGACTATGATGCTGTACAGAACTAAACAGATGGGATATAACTGCTATTATGAACGAGATACAACTGCTTGGTTAAATAGCATAGCAATTTGTAGAAAACGAAGCAAAATATTTTCTCACTAAACTTTCTGATCATAACCGATTGAATGTATCCTTGCCTGCCCCTTCATTTAAGCCAATATCAGTGTTATCGTTTAGGATAAGGAAAATTCTGTTTATATTCTTAATTTCTACTGTATTTCAAGGAAGTTCTTATGAAAAACGGAAACAATATTGCCACCTGAGGCTCCCATTTTCAGGAAAGTCATAATCACGGTCGTTTAGGAACTGGTTTTACAAGTGACAATATATTCTAAATATAGCCACATAATAACCAAATTGTTCAGTAAGTGGTTACTATTCTTGAATACAAACTTTTGGCTGTAAAGAATATGGATCTGAAGTATATTGAGTTTTCAAGTGAGTATTCTACCATAGACGTTTTAACCTAAGTGAAATATTTAAAAACGTCAACAATTTTTTTAAATTTTTCGCATCAAATAAGGATTAAGCAGCCAAGAGCTTAAATTGTATATACATAAGATGCATGTATTTTTAAGAAAAATCGTGATTTATCTTCACTTACTTCAAATCTTGGTCCGAATGCTATAGACCCTGAATACATTTCCACCTGACCCATTGCCAACTTCTTAGCAAAGCGGGTAGGAAGCAACTTACTCAGATGAATTCCATTTATATCAGGAAGACTGACTCTAATGAAGTCATACTTCTCAACATCTTTAATGAATCCTTTCACTTCATCTGATAAATCCACTTCATTTTCTGATTTTAAAACAATTTTGCCAAACTCTGATTTTATCTAATAATAAGGAAAGTAAAATGTACTGTTTTCATGCTAATCGATTCAACCGTATGGTAAAATGATGAATATTAAGTGATCTCAGATATAATCCTAGAAAAATAAAGTATATTAAATTTAAAAACTGAATTAGTTGAACCTTTAGTATGAGCTATCTCCATTATGTTTTTGACATTATTTTTTTCATTTTTTGCAAGGATAATAAAAGTTATTGATTATATTAATTTTGGTAAATTTCATAAAATCCCTTCTATGTAAGCCAATAAATAAAACATTTTACATTATTTTATAATGATTCCGACACTGAACAAAAATGAATCACTGGTTATTAACAAAATACTTTTATACTTGGAGTGTATGATCAAATAAAGATTCCTAATCTACTAATAAGCGATTAACAAAGAATGTTTAATATCTAGGTTATTCATAAGCTACTTAATTAGAAATTTGTAAAATGATATAATATACTGTGACCAAGTAATAAGTTGTGAAGTGTTACATAAAACAATGATTTCCTGTAGATGACTAGTCCATATAAGATCTGCTAGAAAAAATAATATTTCTAATCGTGATTTAAATGTATCAGAGTGTAACCAAGTAGCTGAGAAATATATTTATTGGACTTTATTTGTGGTACTCCATCTCCATCAACTAATATCACCTGTTTCTACGTCACAGTCATAATCACAACTATTTAATGCATCATGATAAAAAAGGTCACTTTTAGTATCGTCTGTATCACATTGTTCTAATCAGCTTACATCATTACAAAACTTAAGGAATCATGAACCAGTTCATATAAATAAAAAATAATAATGAAGTAGTTAGATATTTTAAATAATAACCCTTTTACCTAAGTTGTCTAAATATATAACATGAACTTTTAAAATGATAGGTGGAATCAGAATGTGGGTTTGTGAAGATTGTAGTAATTTTGATAGTTGAATTTATGAGTCGATGTAAGCTAGAGTTCTGGTGAGAAGCCGTAACCAGTGGAGTTCAATCCGTTTCGGGTAGAAACAGTTATCTAACTTGGATAATGGATGAATGGCTGCGCAAGATCATGGGTCGATTGTAGTTGGACATTAACACCGGTGGATACTGGCCCAGTGGTCTAGAGCCTAAGCGTTCGTGCGCGAGACCAAAAGTCCTGGGTCCGCGTCCTATACACGAGGCTGTGGATGCGCACAGCTGAGGAGTTTCACACTAGGACGAAACGGCCGTCCAGTTCTTTCAGGTTTTAAGTGGTAGTCTAGCTTACATCGACTCATAAATTCAATCTTTATAATTAGAACCCCTGAAATTGTATTATCTTTCATCATATTCATAGGAAAAACTTACAGTTCACATCAGTGAGCAATAATGATGTAAACAAGGTCAAAGCAATAAATGCATGAATGCTTGAGAAAATATTGATAAAACTTGTAAATTATTCAATTTACGTTCGAAACCGTATTTGCGTAAACTCATGTAAAGTATGGGAAAGCTGTACTTTAAAAAAGTTATTTTTGTGCCAAATTATCATGGATTCACATTTTTCTTGTTACCAATATCTTCTTGGAAAACAAATGGAACTTACTTCACTTAACGTGTTTATTAAATTCTAGTGGTTTTAATAACAAGATTAGCGTACAAAAAAATGTACCTTATGCTAATCGAAAATCAAGCACATTCATTGCATGAATAGTTTCACTTAAACAAAATGTAGTAAAACATTTCAATAACATTAGAAAACCTGAATTTAAAAAAATACTTTATTTTAATTGTTCAGGATAAGTGCTGTACATATAAAATTCAAGCCTTATCTCACTTTCAAACAGTCATCATGTAGTAATTGACTGCATACACAAATGTTAATCTGCTTCTGACAACCATTTTAATCCAGTCTTCTTTATAAATATTTATGTATCAACCGATTTTTCACCCTGTTCTCAGTAGTCTTCTAAAATAAATTTCCTGTCTTGTGCACAGTTCTTTCGAGTTATACTTGAAAGTTTAACATTAATTTTCTTAAGGAAGAAATTCTCTCTTTAAATAAAATTTGCTTACTAACGAAAGGTGAGAAATGACTGAAAATAGGAACAAAACAAATTATTTCCTAAACGTATTTTAATAACACTCTAGTGATGAGATCCTCAGCGGTCACTTATGAAAATAATTACAAATCCTGTTTGATAAGAAGTCACAAGAAGTGACATGGATATTTGTAGGAAAAGTGCCACTTTTAAGAGCTTCTGTTGCGTTTTACTGTGAGAAAAATACATAAAAGAAACAGTTGATCCTAACAAAAGTTTATAGAAAACTTATATTCAAACAAGTCATGATAAAAAACAGAACCTTTTGCGATCGTATGATTATATAATTGTATTTATTCATTGTGTGCATTTAAGCATCCTTCCAATAAAATTGGACGAGAGACTTGCAGTAAATGTGGCAGATTCACCTAAATTATTGTATTTCTCATTAACAATTTAGTTAACTAGGGTATATGAAACAGTAAGAATTCACGGCTAATTCACTCAAAATCCAATGAAAGTATGTAATTTTTATAGATTTATCTGAAGTTTTTCTTAAACGGAAATGTTATTTAGGATAACGATACTTATTTAAGTCATATTATGATTGAAAAAGCATCTGAAGTTCAATTTAAACCAATTATTAATGAGATAGTAGGTATCATTATCAAGGTTTGAAATGATAATTTCAAATAAATTGAGCATTATATAGATTGTTATTAACAAAAATAAAATATATTTATAATAATCCAATTAGTAGAAAATTTGAAAATTTAATTTTTCTACTCGTATATTATTTTTATTAACATCTGAAGTAAACTTCATTGAGCAATAAAGTGAACAAACTTCAGTTTCTTGAAAGACTTGAGGAAAAACCTGAACTCTTTCACACTATAAATTACTCAACATACACAACATATTCAAGGACAGATCAGAACTTATGGTCGTGTGAGTGTAGTACTCAGAAAGTATGATGACATAGAAAAGTTCAATGAATTAGGTCTTGACAAAAAAAATTAATTAAACATGATCGTTTACTATTTACTATTATGATCTACGGTTACACTTTGGTACAAGCATCTATTATGTACATAACCATACGCTAATCATACAAAAAAAAACAGAATAATAACTACGGTCACATAAAACACGATAAGAGCATCGATATTTCAATTAAAAACACATACAAAAACCACAAATTATGTTTCAAGTTACGTACATTATACTGAACTTCAAGCTCTTCAAATTACTCAGCTTAGTGATGTGAAATATAACAACCTGGACGTATACATATTTATGTCAGATTCCATACAGTTCATGAAAAAAATGCAGCAAAACCGGAAAACATATTACTAGTAACAATTATGACCTCCTTTACAGTATACTATGTGTCACATGTTGCAAATAAATCAGAGACTTTATGTTATATACAAAGTATTTCTAAAGCTTTTTTTCTAAATGACTTTCCCAGACGCATGTGTATGTTACTGGATTAAATAGAATTATATTGAGAGCAGGGAACGATTCGAGTTAGATCATCAACAGTTTATGATATCAATGAAGATCAACAATCTCCACAACTCTTTAATGATAAATATAATTACGTTTTTCACCATTAAAAAGTGGCTATATAAAACTAGATAAAAAATCAGCATAAATAACAAATAATTATAGTACTGGAGTCAATTAATCCACATTATATTCTGAACATCAATATTGACGGAAATTGAAACACGCTTTTACATGGAACTAACATTCAAACGTTTATCTTTTATTCCTATTTCTCCAGTTATCTTGGAAACATACTAACTAAATACCAACAAATAAAATAAGTACTAGAGTAACTGTCAAATAAAAGGGCAAATTAGATTACCTTCAGCAAATTAAAAATCAAAAAACTTTCCACATGACAAATATTTATTTTCTATTTTTTATTTAAACACATAAACTTCGGTACAAGGAGGCATCAAATATATGTGCGAGACACTTGGTCATTCGATTTGTGTGAGGGCTGTAATACTAACCGGGTGACCAAACTGAAGCGGGTTGGTTTCTTAAGTGGCCACTCCCTGAGCCTTTAAGCTAAAGGTCCAATCCACAAAGTAGTGGAGCAACATTAGGAGAGGACGATAGGTTCATACACCATGTGCATTACTGGTTTGTAATCAGGATTTTCCATTCCCTTAGGTGGATCCTCGGTATCCACCAACCCGTTTAAGCCTCCAGAAATTCACTTTTCACACTCACATCATCCTCTCCTTGAGAAGATAGAATAGGAGTTCTCTGACAGTGGTTGTATGCACGTAGCCATTAGAAAACATTTCTAAAGGGAAAGCGAACTCTCCCCAACCTCGACCGTATCAGGGTATTAAAAGATGCAAGATAAATAGATTGACATTAAATGAAAAATACTATTCAAGAAAATAAAATCTATCACTGAAATCTAGGTAAATCAATTAATTAAAAAAAACTAGCGAAAATCTGATGACAGAAGATAATGTACGAGCATGGACAGCGTCGACAGAGATAATTAGCATTTAACAATAATCAAAAGTTAAATGGCTAGTAGCAACTGTCTATAAAGATCGAATTGAAAAAAACAGAGAGAGAAATAGAAAGATATTGTGGATTTGAAGAATGAGGTATTTAAAGTATGATTCCCATATTATATGAAGACATTATGAAATTTTGTGTTAAACAAACATACCTGAGATCTCATTCACTACACGAGACCAAATAAAATAATAAACAGAAGGTCGATATGCTTAAACGCAGCACAAATTCAAAATGAACAAATTTCACTCAGAAGATGAACAGTCAATAACTCCACCATGAGAACTGATTCATCTCCATTAAACTGAAATACAACTAATAAACAACAACACCTCAACCAAAATAACCATCCACGATGAAAACGGAGGAGGACAAATATTTGGAAGAGAGTCTTTATATCTCAATTAGAGACAACTAAATGAACAACACTGAAGTACATAAAGGATGTCACATACAATAATAACCAATGGAAATAGGTGTCAATTACGTGGCTCTGTCACGTTGTAAGGCCAACAACAATAATTCTTGTGGCGAAATCAACACTCCGCAATAATGCTGATTAGGGTCAACTGTAACTGGCACATCAAAATGAACATATTAATATCCCAGTTCAGTTCAGAATAGTGTAAAGATATTTTGAAAGAGTTTATACTAATCAAACATTCCATTTATTTCACGTTATATACAAAATATACATTCCTATTTCTGTAAATTCTGAATTCGTCAAAACTCGAGTAGCCGTTAATAATAATAAGTAAAATATTGAGGCAACGAATTGTGTAAATAGCATAGCACTAGTTCAATTGGCATATTCTGTTGAGTCATAAACAAGAAAATTGTGAGTGATTTGTTTCCGTCAGCATCACACTTTACAGTTGTTTATTTCAGAACAGAGTATCGATCAGAGAGTAAAGAGAAATTGTTATAAACAAACTTCTGTGGAATTTCATCAATGATAAACAGTAATGTCCGCATTTACCACCTTGTGTTTAATGGTGAAAAATCCAGCTTCCACTTTCCTTTGAAAATCTATATCCTACTCAGTCCAATGGTTTCATATTAGCAACGAAACTGTTTACTTTGGCCAGTATAATTACAGATTAGTACTGATCAAGCGTGTTGAAATTTACTGCTCAGATGCACGGAAACAGTATTTCTACACGTATTATCAAGATCAAACAATTGAATTTCAAAACCATTTAATTCACACTCACCCGTTCCATTATGTGTTCACGTAAATTGTAGTTCAATTATTTGTAATATGATGAGGTACAGTCTTTTCGAATGGCGTATTAGTTAGTTAATAGTTTTAGGTAATAAATTATCTTTGGTTTCAGCTGGATGGTTTTTTTTGAGTTTTTACGCATCATGTTTTTTTATATATGAGGAAGATATTAATATATTTCGATAGCCAATCAGATGTGCAGAATTGAAATTCTATTCAGTATTGGTTGCAGTTTAATTTTCACTATATGTATATTGTATGCTACTTATGTTGATATATGTAAGTAGTATGCCACATCAATCAGAAGTATAATACTTATCAAAAGGAGATTGAGAAGATTGAACTGAAGAGAACAGAAAGGAAAATAGAAAGGGATTAGAATAAAAGCAGAATTGGAAGAGTTATGAAGCATGTAAAGTATAACTAAAAGATGTGTCAAAGATATATTTGATGTATGTTTTTCACATTTCAACAAATGACTGTGTGATGGTTCTCATTAGACAATAAATTGGTTTGCCCTACCTGAATACTTCCTTCGCTCCATATGTATTTGAAATATTACAGTTAAGACTCCTTAATTTAACAAAAAGGTATGAAAATTATTTAACATTTATTTATTTGAACACATAGATATTGGTACAAGGGGGCACCAGATTCATATGAGCCATACAAATCTCATTTGATTTGTGTGAGGACTGTGATACTACCCGAGTGCCCAAACTGAAGCAGGTGTTTTTCTTAGAGGACCACACCCCGATCCTTCGACCTAAAGGTCTGATCCACAGGGAAGTGGGACATCGTAAAGAAATGCAGTCCTATGGTAACCGGTGACCAACAATTGCTTCATACACCATTTGTTCCCTCAGGATCTTGGAGCCCATGTCCACCATTGGTTTGGAACCAGGGTTTTTCAACTCCCCTAAGTGGACTTTCCGTATCCATCAACCCGGTTAAAGCCCCGGACATTCGCTTTTCGTCCTCTCAATTTCGCAAACAACACCCTCGCCACGAGAAGGCAGTGAGTAGGACTTCTTTGGGAGAGGCTATATACGCGTGGCCATGTGAGAGCATTTGGAGAGGGAAAGCTGACTCTCCCCACTCTCAGCCATACCAGGGCATTTGGAGCCATTAACAAATACATTTTGTTAAGAAGAGATATTTGTTGATATTTCATAGGAAAGTAATTTGATTATAAGAACAATTTTTGTTCAACTTAGGAACAATTTAATTATTTTAATACTGAGTCAGATTAAAACAACAGTGAAATAATCAAGGATATTTTTACTTTTATCAACCATTTCGTAGCTTTTCTGGATTTCAGAAACACTATTCTGGAAAATACTGATGAGCTACGACGAGCGGTAATAGTTTGAGTGTACTTTGATTCCAAAGCATTGAAAGCATGAAGTCAAAAATTTTGCATCCGTAGGTTGATCTGTTGGTTCTAGATAATGTGAAGTTATACAGTTGTGAATTATTTCTGTAATAATTAATCTCAGTTAAAGGATTGATGAAACACTTGGACGTTTTGTTTGGTCATCTGAGAATTATATCCATCTATTTGGAATGGTCTAAGTTTCTTCGGTATTTTTGTTCATTAAATACATAAGACAGAGTTAGAAAGCCATATGTCAAACGAACGAATGATTTGGAAATCACAACTAGTTCAGTTTTTAAATCTCGTTAAACCGAATCATAATGATCCTAGATTATGTAATTATTTAAACTATTTTAGCATAACAACTTTCAACTCTTTTTGGGTATAGAGTTCTATTGCATGTGTGTTCTAAAACAAACGTATTCATAGCGTAAAATAGATAAATATATCACAACCGTCAGTGCTTTTGTTTGAATTCACATGAACACGTTTCTCCGACAACTGATCTCCAAAAACGAATTAAATATTGAAATTTATTGCTTAGATACATGAAGATATAACAGTTGTTTATGAAGAGAACAATTATCAAACTGTTTTCTTAAGATACCTTAAATTTACATTCTACACAACAAACTGGATTTTGTAACTATAATTTACAATAAATCTACTTAGTCCTAGAAACACACTTTTCTCAGAGTCAGAAAATGTTTGTATAGTAATTCTAAGGAAATCTAATTTTGATGAGTATAAAGACCATTTGATATTCCAAAATTAGTCTAGTTATTCTAAATATTGAAAGAATAGAATTTAATATGGTTCATAAGTATTTTAGTTTTCTAAAAGACTCCCAGAGATGCTGTAATCGAAAAAGATCTTAGGTTATAAACACTTAAAATTCTTTGACCTGTTCTAACCCAGTTTCTTAAAAAGAAAAAAGAATCTAGTCGAATAAATGTGGATAATGAAGAATTAACATGAGTTTTTTTAATCAACTATTCCCTATGTGCAAACACACAGACAACATTGCACCATTTGAACAGCTAGGTAAAAACCTATAAAAATAAACATAAAAATTAGAACGTTATACTTCGATTCGCTCAACCTGGTTATTAAGAGTCGGGTTCCTCTATCAATCTCATTTTTAGTTTATTCCAGAAGTGGACAAATTCCAGCCGGTAAAGCTCATCTAAAGTTACAGATAAAAATGATAAGCAAATAATAAAATGAAATTGGTCTGAATAATAAAGGGACTTAAAAGTGAAATATCAAAACGTGAGTTTAAAAAGTAAAATTAAGCCGATATAATCAATAATAAATAATAGTGCCGATTTCTCAACATTATGTACACCAGTTGTTTCTCCAGCATCTGTTCAAGAAAATAGTCTTCAACCGTTGTCACAAAAATATTTGAAGACTGTAAAGCGTTTCGACAACAATCTAACACGTTAATCACCATATTTCAAAAATGAAAAGGCTAATTATAAAATATAAATGGAACCATAAGACAACATACACGAAACTTAAAGAGGACAGAGATTTCGAAGAGAGTCTTTATATCTCAATTAGAGACAACTAAATGAACAACACTGAAGTACATAAAGGATGTCACATACAATAATAACCAATGGAAATAGGTGTCAATTACGTGGCTCTGTCACGTTGTAAGGCCAACAACAATAATTCTTGTGGCGAAATCAACACTCCGCAATAATGCTGATTAGGGTCAACTGTAACTGGCACATCAAAATGAACATATTAATATCCCAGTTCAGTTCAGAATAGTGTAAAGATATTTTGAAAGAGTTTATACTAATCAAACATTCCATTTATTTCACGTTATATACAAAATATACATTCCTATTTCTGTAAATTCTGAATTCGTCAAAACTCGAGTAGCCGTTAATAATAATAAGTAAAATATTGAGGCAACGAATTGTGTAAATAGCATAGCACTAGTTCAATTGGCATATTCTGTTGAGTCATAAACAAGAAAATTGTGAGTGATTTGTTTCCGTCAGCATCACACTTTACAGTTGTTTATTTCAGAACAGAGTATCGATCAGAGAGTAAAGAGAAATTGTTATAAACAAACTTCTGTGGAATTTCATCAATGATAAACAGTAATGTCCGCATTTACCACCTTGTGTTTAATGGTGAAAAATCCAGCTTCCACTTTCCTTTGAAAATCTATATCCTACTCAGTCCAATGGTTTCATATTAGCAACGAAAATGTTTACTTTGGCCAGTATAATTACAGATTAGTACTGATCAAGCGTGTTGAAATTTACTGCTCAGATGCACGGAAACAGTATTTCTACACGTATTATCAAGATCAAACAATTGAATTTCAAAACCATTTAATTCACACTCACCCGTTCCATCATGTGTTCACGTGAATGAATGTTAAGCCAACGACTGGTTATTATGTAAGATGTTTTATCTATGGTTCATTTTGAGAATAAATCTGTCAAGGTCTGCAAACAACCAAGAAATTTCACATCACTTTCGAATTGCCACTGCAGATTATGATATTCTATTAGCGCTCGACCATTTCAATATCACAAACACTACTGGTGTAACACTGTTTACTATATAATCCGGTTTGTTAATAGCGAAATAATAATAATAATTCATAAGTGATAAGTAACTGACAGCTAAGTAATTAAAGTCGCGTGTAAAGCTGCTGGACAGAACATTTAGAGGACAACGCAACAACAAGGTTACTAATAAAGGTAGTTCTAGTGAAAATAGACTCATGAAATAAATGATTATACTTTTTACTGATTTCCGATTCTGTTAAGTAGATACACTTCAAATAACTTTAATAATCATTTGTGTTTCATATGTGCAAATCCATTGATCGTATTAATATGTTACCCTGAAAACAGGGAAATCTACTCTGAATCTGAGGGAAGTAATAATTGCCCATGTGGAATTTCTCGAATATGTATGAATGCTTTCTAGGACTGAGGTCTGGTAGAACTGTCATTCCAAATTTAGTGAACTATTCTGTTTGTGAAAAAGTTGCGATAATCTAAAGTGACGGGATTTCATTACCGAAATCCAGGAATGTAATGAAAAACGCTCACAAATACTTTCAAAAATAATTATGATTGTTTTAAATTGATATAAATGTTGTTGACTGAAATTAGTCAATATATGGCAACCGAAACTCAAGTGAGAACTGCTAAGGAAAATAGAATTCACTTATTTAAAAAAAATTAAAGGATATACATTTTCCCAACTAGTATCGTTGCAATGTATACATTTTTTATTATTTTATACCTTGCCTATAATTATTTGCTTATTAAAATTAACAATCCACAATCGTTTCATTTCAACACTTATAGATATTCTCGATCATTACGTATCTACAGATAGTTTATTCTATTTTGAAGAATATATGGATATTCATTCGAGAGATTATTTTTTGTTCACTAAAATCTCCATTTTAACTAATATTCTGAATTTACTTTCACTTAGAATAAATTTGTGATAACAAAAACAAATTATCTAATAGTGCGTTTGGAGTTGTTTTCGAAATGCTGTCGATTTCCTGTTTATGATATTGTTTATTTATTTTTCATATATTAAGACCTTTATAAAAGTTCTACGTTATC